TGGTGCTGTGTGCGACTGCTTCTGTTTAAACAGCTGGATTTGCAAAGCAACAGCTTAAGCAGCGTGCTCTTCTCTAGATACATATTTATGAGAGACACAGAGAGGGCAAGGCTATGGAAAGGCAGAAGCTGAGTAAACTTTCTCACTTAGACAGCTGATGTTAATTGTGTCCTGCTCTCAGCTGCACAGCCCCGATGACAGTTTATAGCAGGGCCATCCAATCGGCACGTTCAAGCAAGACCCAGCCTGTGCCATGACTCCATCCACTCCCACTCCAGAAGATTTTTGTGGTTTGATTGCTATCTGGGCACTAATAAACAGTCGTAACCTGATCTGTTCCCTGCTTGTCAGGAAGTTAGGCAGATCTTGTTGGAGGAGTTGCTTCATGCATGGCAATGATGTCATTTACAAACAGTTGATGTTCATTTTTTTCTTATCATCTGGGAACTAAGGAACATGTCTTATCTTTGCTTTACTACAGAATAACTGATTCAGTAAATGGGGTCTCATCCAAGTCCACTGAAGCTGATGTAAAAACTCTTGACTGCTGCTGCTTGTATCTGGTTTTGCTCAGCTATCAAAATGAGGAAATCTTGTGTTAGAATGAGTGCGGGCCTGAGCACCAGCCAGTGCAGCACCCGGGACTTGATGCGGGTGATTGATGAGTGCACACACAGGTCTTAATGAGCTCTTGTTGACTGTATATTCAATACCACTAAATTAAAAGAAAGTAAATTAAGAGCTGAGACGGAATCAGCTTTCGAATGTTTTCTGAAATCAGTTGTGTATTAATATTGGGAGTAACTGCTAATCTTTGTCTGAAACTGTGCGTATGTATATATGCATATACAGAAAAATAGTTAGAGATATAATCTGTAGGTGGTGAGGTTTTATTTTTTTTTTTTAGAACTGGCTTTATTCAACAGTTGATCATTTCCATGCAAACACTTTAGACGCTGTATCTATGTGACATCAGAAATGATGTGATAAAAGACAGGCAGTAAGCAGCAGCTCAGCAGGCTTGCTGTTTGAGTCAGTACGCGTGGAAGAAGGAAATGCCTGTTTGCATCCCTGTGGGCTGTGAATTAAAGCATGAGAGAACTTCTTCAGAAATCTTCAGTACTTTCATAACAAATTTTAGATTCTGAAATATGCAGTTGCTACAACACAGTTCACCTCTTCAAAAATGGATTTAGATTGCAGATGGTGTTTAACAGTAATGGGACTCTTAAATGATAAGTCTCTTTCTAAGTCTTGGAAGACTTCAGTTTGGATTCAGGTAGTAGAAAAAAAAAAAAAGGAAAAAAAAGAAAAAAGGAAAAAAAGAGAAAGAAAATTTTAATGTTCTGTCCAGGGACTGTGCGTTAGCAAGTGCTAATCTAGCATAAATTCTATATTATAAGAAAATTCAGAGCAGCTCTTGCTTAATGTAAGCATGCATTTCTGCTAACCCAGCTTCTTTGTTCTTTTAAAACACGTAAGAGGGAGAACCCAGCAACAAGGCAACATTTACTGTCCCTGAGGAAATTGCAACACTATCGCAACTTCTAGCAATTCAAAAGTAACTGAAACTGGGAAATTATACATGCTATATTTAAAAAGCTTCTGAAAACTTCCTGTCTTTGCTAGTTCCATTCCCTGGCTGGGGATAGTGTCGGGAGTTTTGATACCAATAGCTATTGCTCTGTAACTTCAGCAAGGTCTACAAATAACCAGGAGCACAGGAACGATTATCCATGGACAGCCTATGCATTGAGTAGTACGTTTTTCTTCTGCAGGTTGAACCATTTTGAGGTGGTAGCAGAGGTGATACCTGTGTACCTACATTAGTTCTGCAATAATTATGCTTATACCATCAAAAGACAGACCTCTGTTTACTTTGCTTAAATTTGTCTGGTTTAAAGTAGAGAAGGTACAAGTCTGCTGATAGCTAGCTAAGAAGAATCTCGTACTATTTTGGAAATTACAGAAACAATGTTTGTGCTGCTCTTTGTATTTTGCAGTTAGACATGTATTATTGAAGTGCAGTAATTAACAGGATTGTGTGATACAGAGGAAACCAGACCAAACTTTCAGAAGAGGTCTGTACAGGAAGGTCTGCTTCTTCAAAATCTGGCCTTTAAGATTTATTTGAAGCGTTGGTTCTTAGAAATCTCTCGCTCACACAAGAATGTGTATTCGTATAGAAAATCAGTATGTACCCATGACTGTTCTTAACTTGCTATCTGTTAACTCTAATTTAATCTTTTATTTTAAATCTTATTGCTTTCCAATCTTTCATGAGTTTTTCAAGCATATTTTATCTGCCCTCCAAGGATATTTTTTAACAGTAATCCAACCATACTATTAAATTGTAGAGGATCCAATCTTACAAGGTGAACATGGCTGCAGTTAATGGGACTTCGAAGTCACGCTGCCTCTCCAGGACGCAGTAAGCTGTGGGATGAGTGTAGGCATGCAGCAAAGCGTTCTGTGCAGAACAGAAGTTGACTGTATAATATAAATATCAGATTAAAAAAAACCCCAGAGCTCCCAAATATGAAGTAGTATTGTTTATGCACCAGTCATCTTTCCCCCTCCTGGAGTGTGATGCACATTTTTCCTGAGAAAAGAAGATGACCATGTTTGCTCTTTCAGCACATTGTCATGTTTCTAAAGAATCCTGGGGGAAGATAAACAGCTGCGGATGGCTTTGTCTTCTCCCTCTTTAAGCCAAAAGTTTTATTTGACCAGAAATTCTTCTGTTGGCTTACGACTTTATTTGACCATATTTACGTCATATAAACTGACACTGGGTACACATATATGTTTAAAGTTTGTGTTTTTCATGTCGTGTACTTAAGATCTTCTTTATTTGCTGCTGGATTACATTAACTGAGTATATGTATGTAGATATAATTTATAATCATTGTACATCGCCTATGATAGGTTCCTCCTCTTTCCAGCTGTTGGACATCTTTTCTGAGTATGTGGATTTTCAAAAGTTTTATTTGATGTAGAATCTTAAGTTTAGGCTGTAACCTCTATTTATAGGGGAAAATACTATTTTTCCTCTTGAGAAGTCTGATGTTGCCTTCTTGAATGGTAAGTGGAAGATTCTGTTGTGAAAAAAATCTGGATTTTTGAAAGTGCTCTTTGATATTTCAACTTTTTAGTTGGTTTAACAGTTGGGTTTTGAACATACAGTCCAAGTCCACATAAACAGGGAATGGAAGATGCTGTTGACACCATCAGTGGCATACTAGCTATCTGCAGAGTTTCAACATGGCTTGGAAGTGTATGGAAGAATTGGTTTTAATAAAGTCATCAAAACTGCGTGGGAAGAGAATTGGTTATCTTGACTGTATTGAGTCTGTACACTAATGTGTAGCCCAATGATCCATTTCAGTTTTTTGAACGCTTTCTTTACTACTGTGGGCTTAAACCTCGTGCTGCTTTCTCTTTAAAAGCTCTTTTACAGTTTTGCAATTAGTTGGGAACTCAGACTGTTATGTTATTCAGTTTTATGGAGGAAACAGCAATTGAGCCTATTAATCAGATATTTTCCAACAGGCTATATGTCAGCCATTTTTTTGGATATCAGTAGCTTTTGTCTTGTTCAGAAGGTATTGTAGAGTATTTTACATTTTCCAGGATATCTTCCAGAAATATAACTCATCTGTTAGAGAAATTACCGGAGGTTAGTTGTATAGTGAAACTGCATACCTAGATGGTGTTTAAAGTTTTAGTCTTCCAAAATTTACCAGTTTTATCATGAAGTTATGAGAAACTCTAGATCTTGAATCCCATTTACGCCTTCACGCACTGTAAGCTGACCAGCACACAGCTCAACGTGCACTATTATCCTTTGATTTGGTAACTCAAATGTGTTGCAGGGCAATGATATTAAAATGGCATGTTCTCCAAACAGGGCTGGTGACATGCTGGAAAGCACCCACCAGGAGCTTCTGGTGTGTAAGTGGCTACTCTGAGGGCAGAGCTGGGGACTCTGATTTCTCCTCCAAGCACAGAAATATTCCCCTTTTTGGGGAGCAGAGTGGATAGGAAGGTCAAGGAAACTGCTAATTACGTTTTGTTTCTGACTCAGACTACTGTAAAAGTCTCTGAACGTGGATTTTGTTGATGGAGTATGTGCTTTAGGTGAGGTGTGTAAGGAAGGAAAATAGAACTTGAGGACAATTCCTCTAGTTTACCTTCTTGATACTGGCTAAGTGCAGACATTGGAAGGGAAAGTGGCATGGCCAAGTCAGGATTCATAAATTTGAATGATAATACATGGGGTAGGTTGCCTGCCTTGGTAATGAGGAGGCACACTGAAAACTTTAATCCAAAAACAAACAAGCTTTTTTCCCCCATTTATTTTCTTTCTTTCTTTGGAAACAATAATAGCGGAAATGCAATTGGAATTCTGCAGTTAGTTGGGGCTGTTTAATGTCACTCTGACAGCTACTTCTCAGTTCAACTTACTTTTGAACAGTCCCCATTACTGTGCTATTAAAGTGTGATGGGAACAATCCAGGCTGAAAAACTTTCAGTTGTGTTGTGCTTTAGTGTGTCTCTCCAGTGATGGAGAAGCATGCTCCTACATGGTGTAATGGAGAGGTTGATGTACAGTTGTTACTCTGATGAGCAGTTGTGGGTGGGATCTTACCTACAAACAGGGAAGTAGGCTGGTTTATGTAGACACTAGAATGTGGATAAAGCTATTCCAGGAACCAAACATAATTTGTTTACCATTATAAGCCACTAGTTTTAAAGCTAGAGTTGATTTTAATGGCATAATGTGGTACCATGCACACATGTCCTTTGATCTTACAGCTTGCTCCTACTCCAGAGAAATTGACAGTACTTGAATCCAAGGACTAAATGTCACCTCCAGTGTGGCTGTGAGCAATATCCTCAGTTTTGGCTGCTCTGAAGCTACTGTACTAGTGCCCGCAACCCCTGGTAGAAATTATGTAGTAATCTCTGTCAGTATTTCTTCAAGATAAGTAAGAACCATGTGGGTGTGCGAGGAACGACTGCAGTTCTTTGCGTGCTTCTTTGCCAAGGTACATGGAGAGAGGTCACTGCTACTTAAAGCAGTCTTGCCATGGCAATTCCTGGCTGAGACCTTGCCAGGCAATTCACTGAAGACAAAGGCTCTGGCTTATAGTTCTTATTTGTGGAAATTAAATATTTATGATGCAGTCAGATCCCTGATGGTAGAAGCACAAAAGATTGAGTAAAAGAGTGAGATGTTTTGATAAACCTTCATTGGATTTCCTAATACGTTCCGTGTGCTCTATATGCCGTGTTATCTTTCACAACTGGAGTGCTAAAGGGTTTCCTGATTTGCATGTAAAAATGAATTCTGTTTGTCACTGGATATACTTTTCTTGGCCAAATGCGTGCTCTCTCAGGCTTGTTTTCAAAACAGAACAGCTGTTTTGTGAATGTAACTATCAGAATGCTGTCTGGAATAATTGCACTCTAGTAACTTCAGCACCCTCATACCTGGCATGAAGCTCTTCAGAGATTTTTTTTTCATGCCTTCCTGTTGAACTTCAGTATAGGGTTTGCATTTCATTTTACACAAACTGATTTTACTTGTGGAAATAAATGCCAGGCTTGGTAATTCCCTCCAGTGACTGCCAAGATGCCTCTGGCAGGCTGTGTGCTGGGGGAACCCAGCTCTGCTGGGCAGCCTGTACCCACTGCGGTGTCCCAGTACCCTGCAAGTGTGTAGGGCTGTGACCGCCTGCTGTGTTCTTCGTTTCATATACGTTTGCATTTTGAGAATGCTGTTACTGAGTGTGTATTTGTCCCCTTGTGTGAGGGGGATAGTCAGACTTAGGAAACTGGACAGCTCAAGTCTATATGTGAGACCATACAGCAGAGCTCCTTAGGGTAGACACCTGGGGGGACAGCAGGGCAGGGATTTGTGCCAAAGCGGATGGTGAAGCAGGAACAGTTTTGCTGCAGCTAGAATTCATCGTGGGGTTTTTGCGAAGACTGAGAATTTTGTGGCTCGCTCACTGGGGAGAACCGGGCCACAGTGGCAACTTAGGGTCTGAGTAATTGCAGACAGCTTTCTGCTGCTATGCCTAGGTCTTCATTGCACAGCTGGAGCCCTGGAACCGACACAGCGATGCTGCCGGGGACTCACGGCCAGGCACTCAACCTCTCAGTGTGACATTTGTGTGTGACTCGGCCAGCGGTAAGGGCTCTGGTGCTGCACTGAACCTCTGCACTGGCAGGACTCTTCGTGGGACCAAACTTGCTCTGCACAGCAAGGACCCTGTGGGTGGCTGCAGCTAGAATAGATGTAGCCGAGCACATCCTGAAATTGAAACAGCACTTGGATAAGCTTACTCCCCTAGGATCTATGTTGTACTTGCACATTTACACTCTTGTGCATTCATGAAAGTCACTTTGCGTTTGTGTTACTAGAAACAAATGGGACAGGTGTTCTAAGGGGTTGTTGTACCTAAATGTAGCAAACAAGGAATAAATTTTTCAAAGTGAATGAAGTTAAAAGGTTAAAAATAAATTAGCAGAAGTATTTGGTGGTCAGAAGCATTCTCTTCACTCACTTCCACAGGAAGAAACAAGTATCTCCCATACTATGCTTAGTAGAATTCTGCCAGTAAAACTAGTGCAAGTTGTCATTTACATCTAAATAAGGTCATAGGAGCATACAGGAATTACATTTATATTTTTGTAACTTCTTACTAGCTAGAAGAGAATGGTGCTGGTTTTCTCATTTGGTTAATAATACCTTCTATAATGTGCCAAGGTAACTTATTTAATGCACTTTGCGTTGTCTCTTCATACACACTATAGACAGAATAAAAGCATGTTTCTCTGCTTTTTGGTCAGACATAGATTACTTTAAAAAAACCGCACCAAACAAACCCAAACAAACCAAAAAAACCCACCACCCCCCAAAAAAAACCCCAACAAAGACTAAATAGTCTATAAAGAAACTCCAATTCTAAATGGACTTTAAAATACTATAATTACACTTCTGCTGCACTTAAAAATTATTTAAGTACCACATGCACCTAAAATCCTGTGGTGCAGCAAGAGACATTGAAATAAAGCCTTTTAAACCTCTTCATCTGTAATTTTAAAAAATTGACCATTGGCAAGCATGCTAGAAAGAAAACTTTTCCAGTGTGAATAATACCTTTATAAAAATAGTTTCCTGTTTGTTCTGTGACTGTAAACCTGACTCAGGCAGTCTACACTAGATTGCTTCATTTGCTCTGAGTATAATACAGATTGCCTTTCAGTTTCACGTCAATGTAAACTGCATTGTTTGTCTCCTCAGCTTTGTCCATTTTACATAGCTCAGGTTGAAATCCCTTATGATTTGGTGCATCATTCTCTTTCCTTCTGTTCCACAACGCTTAAGCAACATACCAGGCTCCATAGTGAATCTTGAAATACATGAGCGGTGTGTAGGTAGAATTACCATGGGTTCCATTAAAAGAGAGTAACAATATCCCATAAAGAACAGTAGATCATTTTTGTGTGGCAAACTGTATTTCTACATAGATTTACTACTTTCTTTGACTTAGTGACTGTGGGAGGAATCTGATGCAACCCACGTCTTGTTACTTACATCATGTTGTCAAGTACAGAGTTTTGAAATCCTTGGTGTTAGCATTCCTCAGGAGGGGGTAGGTGTAAGAGATGTCTACCCCAAACCAAATTCCACGGTTATTGTCAGTGCTTGACTGGTCGCCTAGGAAACTCTCAATAATGGATTCACTTGGCTTGGCAATGCAGTCTGGTGTGATCAGATTTTTCCAGTTCCCTCTAATTTGAAGATGCAGTGCTTGAACAAAAAGTTAATCATAACTTAATTTATTCCATAGAGAAAAATCCTATCCTCTGTCTTCAGTTCTGTTTTAGTCATAGTCTAAGGTATTGTGTTCTTTATTCATTCTGTGGTGACTCCTGTAGAATTACATTAGATTGCATGACCTTTAGAATAAATGATTTTGAAGGTATTGAACCGTTATTGCTGTGTTTATGTCTATTGGTGAGTCAGTGGTCTGTGAACACATTGCACTGGAATCCTCTGTGGAGGTTCTCCTGCCCTTCTGAGATGTGCTCATGGGATTTTCTTCTGATTCTTGCCTTCAAAAGACTGCTAGCACTTAAGTCACAAAAAGATGGAGCAATTGATCTTCTAAAACTGTCCTCAAAATTTTTGGGTGTTCAGGTTGAGTTGATTGAGGCATTTAAAGTATTTTGAGTTTCTGCTTTGCTGTGTATTGTATTGCAGTAGTGTCAGTCTGGTTCAGTAGAGCTAGCAGTTAAAATCTTCACTAGGACTGTTGAGCAAAGGGACCTCCCCCCCTCCCCCCCGCAAAAAAAAAACACAAACAAAAAACCAAAACTGTGGCAGGATGTGAGAAATCCGCAAAATTGTGCGTGGTGGGGAGGGCAGGTAGAAATGTTGTCTGTAGTTGAAGAACTTGTGCTGTGTGAGGTAAAAATTGTAGGATCCCTGCTCAAGGCACTGAAGATTGTTTTTCCTAGAGTAGGTACTGGGCAGGTGGTGCTGTCTCTGCTTAAATGTTACATCAGTTCAACACGTGACTAGGTGAGAGCAACATCATGAAGTGAACCCAGTGTTTCAGAATATACAGAAACCCCATCCAGGCCAGTAAACCTATACACTGAGACTGGTAGAAAAAGCAGAGAAAGCATCATACTTGCTTGTCTTATGCTTGCTCTTCCTCATGTACACTGATACAGCTGCTGTTGAGGATGGACTAGCCAGACCACTGTCTGACTTGGTAGGAGTGTTCTTGGAAGTGACCTGTTGACTAGTGCTGAATCTAAGCCTTATTTCAGCGGAAAAAATGTCAGTGGCTCCTGAGACTAGTCCCCATAGTTTGCCTGCTGTGTCTATTTTAGACAGACTTGAATTTCATTAGAACATCTGTTTTTTGTGTTCCTCTGCAAACTATGCCTGTACTCCTACAGGTATTTTTGCTTGACTGGCTACTTGGCTGCTACTTGGCTGCAGAGCATCGCATGAGTAACTAGCAAGGTGCATTTCTTCTACAAGGTGGGAAGCAGATAATCATCTTGTGTGTTAATTTTGCTGGTGTCAAATAAAACAAAATGGCAAGCAGTGATTGATTTGAACATGCTCAGGATGACATCTCGGGTGTCTGAGGGCTGCTAAGTCTGTGGTGGTGGACAAGGCTGAAGGGTTAATAGGAATGTTTTTTGCAGAAGCCACTTCTACCACGTTACTGTGTTGGTGAAGATAAACCCAGAGGATGTTTTTTGGGAAAGTGAAGCAACAACAGGAACTGTGTTTGGAATGCTCATTAGAGGCGATTAATTTTACTTTCCTGTAAGGATTGATCTCATGGGCTCTGTTTAGAGGGCAGCTGTTGCTTGAACTCAGACCAAATTGGGGAACTGCAACATGCTCTGGGATCCAGGCTGGTCTGATTAAATACTGGATGCTGGATAGGAGTACTGTCTTTCTCATAGCTTTGAATTATGTACCTTGATTATGCAGCATGTTGCATAGGGTGCTGAATGTTGTTCAGTAGTTTAATTGGGAAGCTGTTCAGTGGGAATTCATGGCTTCATTTGAACTATGTCAAAAGTTTTGGGATATGAAAAGGAAATTGGTTGCACAGTCATTTGCCTGGATGCAGTAAGAGGGCAAAACTAGCACTGCTATAATTTATAGAGGCTGTGAATAAAAAAAACCCCAAACTTTTTGTCTCTGCCCAAGGACTTAAAAGCACTAAATGGTGCCTGTTGGGGGACTGGTTTCCATGGTTGCTTTTTTTTTTTTTTTTTTTTTGCCCTGTTTTCACGAAGAATATGAACCACTTGCTTTCAGGGGAGTTACCGAGGTTGGGTGAATTTCTCTGTTCAGTCCTGTGATAAGAGGTCACAGGATTAGCTCAGACTGAAACGTGGTAAGTTATTTTTGTTCTGAAGATTCCTTCCTGTCCAGTAGTCATGCTAGCTTTGTTTTCATGTCTTGAGCTAGCTGTTTACACAGTAGATAGATTTCTTTGCTTCCTTTTCCTGAGGATAATTTTAAATACAACACCCTTGTCCATAGCAGTTCTTGTTTGATAATGTGTCATGCCTATAATATGACAGTGTGTTTGCCTCCTCTCTTTGAATGACATGCAGGCAAGTCATAAAGCCCCCTGATCCAGTGCTGTTCAGTGCATTTTTTTTTTTTTTGTTATAAACTCTGGCCTTAAAACATATTAATACATGTTCCTTCTTTTTCTCCCTCAGATAAACTACTAGTTTTTACTGTAGCAACTAAAGAAACCGATGGCTTTCACCGTTTCATGCAAACTGCAAAGCACTTCAACTACACAGTAAAGGTATTGTATATTTTCATACCAAATATTTATACTATATAGCCTTTAAGACAGAAACAGTGTAATAGTAACTGAAGCTGTATTAGCTTCCTTGCATGCTGGAGCAAAATAAAACAATTACGCAGCTCAGGGGTAGGTAGGGCACTTGCATGTGGCTCTACTGCTATCCCTACTGCTGTCCCTGTTGCTTACCTGCTGGTTCTCCTCTGAACAAGCATGGGAGGGTGCTTCTTCCACTGCCTTAGGAACTGTTTTACGGATTCATAGCTATTGAGATCAGTGTCCTCAGTCACTTACAGGTTCTGTCATGATTTATCATATACCCTTGCTTTTCAGTGGAGCTGATTTTGTTTGCATGAATACTTCTGGAATCTGTGTGGCGCTCAAGAGGGCTTTGGATGTCTCCTTTCTTAAACAAAACTGCATCCCTGCTGTGGGGAAGGAGGGAGGGTCACAACTGAAAGTTTCACTGTGTTTCCCAGGAACCTGTAATTCTCTGAGAGGACAAAATATTTCTATCCTTCTTGCCAGCCTTTTCTGCCTTGCTCCATGTCTCCGTATGTCACACACTGAGGTTGGCCGCCACATGACCTTGGGAAAAAGGGAGGGCACTAACCTTCTTCTAAACTTTGCCCACAAATTGGTTCTGCAAGAGAAAATCCAGGAATTCAGATGGCGTTATGAAATGTTTCTGCTTGCTTACCACTGTGCCTACACTATAAATAGGAAATTATTTGGGTTTCTGAAGTTTGACTTCTACCACTGAACTTGGAAGACTGAGAGAACCTTTCCTAAATGATAATACTGTACTAAGGCACTCGAGGAGCCTGAGCTCTGGATACATCTATTAGCTTTGCAGATTTGTCCAAAACATCATGCAATGTAGCTCTTCCAGGTTTCATAAGTTCCAAAAACATTATGTTCAAAACCCACAAAAAGTTCAAGGGTTTTTTTCTTTTTTTGAGATGTAATTCACTGTAGTGCTTGGCTAGGGAGGAGTTTTGTTTAGCTGATGTATTGGGGAACCTATCCTTTCCTTGTGTAAAAATGTTCTGGAGGGATTTCAGAAAGACTGGAGCTTGCAATTTTTATTAGTAACACCCTTATCCACCAAGGTCTCTTACACTTCCTGTTCCTAAAGTGATTATATTGACTTTTAAAGGTCTTATTCAGAATGTTTTTCTCATACAAGTTTTGAAACAATTATTAGCTTCTTTTTTTTTTTCTTTCTTTTTTTTTTTTTTCCCCTGCAGGAGACACATTCGAATAAATGGTGGTAGCAGGCAATTGCTTGGTTCTTATTTGGTTAAGAAATGTGTGTCTCATGTTTTTGCAGTGATGTCATTGTGCTGAATGCTGCTTCAGACATGGAAAACTTACAATGCTGGAAATGCTAGCTTGCTATGCTTTAATGTGTTGCTTCTGCTTTAACATCTGTTTTCAATAAGGGTCTGTTTTAAAAAGCATCTTGTTTTGGGGTACTAGCAAAAAGTACTTTTTTCTTATTCCAGGTGCTTGGAAAAGGTGAAGAGTGGAAAGGTGGTGAGCTGCCTAACTCTATTGGTGGAGGGCAGAAAGTTCGACTATTGAAGGAAGGCATAGAAAGCTATGCTGATCAAGAGGACTTGGTTGTAATGTTTGTTGAATGGTGAGCAAACCTGGCTTGTTGCCTTTACATTTTAGTCTGGGTAGGCATGCAAAAGTAGCTGCTGTGACATGCTGAAAGTTGCATGCTGCTTTCCCCCCTCGCTGTTTATTTGAGAGAGTTTGCTTCCATTTTTCTCCATTCATAAAAATAGTAAATTGCTCTTGGAGCAATCATTACTTTTTTTAATGGATTTACAGATGTAAGAGTTGTTCATATTTCTGCTGCCTCGAGGGGGTAAAAAAATGTTGTTGGGAGCTGACAGGCTTTTAGGCAAGCATTCATCCTCTCCCTGTTCAGCTGCGGTGAGGGCAGGACGTGGCTGTGGGCTGGAGTGTGGAATGGGGCAGGGGGAGCAAAAGCAGCTCCAGAAATAAAGTGGCCAGTAGGGACCAGAGGGTGGTCTTGTCCCATGAAGTAACAGTGATACGGAAGAAGCTGGAAAATGGATCCCTGAGGAAAGCACTTAACAGAACTTCTTTTACATGTTAGAGAACTGAAACAAGAGACTTTGTGCCAGACATACCCCTGGTGCCTGTGCTGTCTGTGTGATGGAAGGATGGAGAGACAGTGCTGCTGCAAGTGCCAGATTATAGCTCATAGCACAGCTATGCTTGAACGTCCTCACTGGAGGCCAGATAGGTTTCTCCCTGTCACAGAGAACAGGGAGCTCAGGCATCTTCAAATCCTGCTTTTCCTGTTGCTTCCTTTTTGTTTTTTTTTTTTTTTTTTTTTTATTTTTTTCCCCCCTCCTCCTGTTCGTTTGCTCCTGTGACAAGAGCATGATCAGAGCAGCTAAGAATCTAGCTCACAGCAGCCGCCAAGCTCTTCCACGCTAGCATTAACCAGAGCAGGCTCTAAAAGAATCTAATTCTAAAAGAATCCCTGCAAGGAAGGTACGGAACCAAGTCCTGAATGGGGGACATGAAGCCCCAATTGCAGACAGGCAGCCTTGAGGAGGAGGTAGCTGAGTGCTGGCTTGGAGAGGTTTGTGCATAGGTTCATGCTGCTGTTACTGAGTTGTGTTGGAATGTCCATTCTGGAATTTTCTTTCATCTTTTAACCTGCTTTTAAAATTTATTTTCTAAAATTTGATAGCTGAAGAATTTTAGGGAACCTTTTGCAAGTTAGAGATTTGCAGGATTTGTAGAGCAGACATCACAAGAGAGAAAGTAGTCTGATAGTGGTATTTACTGGAAAGCTTGTTTGTTGTTCTGCATAAGTTAAGAGTTTAGGCAAGTTGGAGTAGCCTGCTAAACTGGTAGAAAATTTAAAGATGCTACTCAGTTTTGGGTTTTAATTTTACCTCTTGTGATAAGTAGAAGATAGAGCTAGAAAGCCAATGTCTAAATTGTCTTAACCAATTATGAACAAGCTTTATAAGGGAAACTTATTACACTGTACATTTTCTTTTTACACTTGATTGACGGTAAAAGTAACAAAGTTTGGAGGTACACATTCAGTTTTTGATTTTTTTTTCTTATTGACTTGATCAGTTTTGCATTTGGTAAGTGGAAAAAGTATCTTTCTAAAAGTAAATATATTACATTTTTGTTCATAGTGTTGTTCTACTGGTCATGCATTAATCTGGGAGATTATTTTTTCTTTACTAAATGCCCAGACGAATCAAATGTTTCCCAGATATTTTCTATTTGCATTGAATTTCTTTGTTTTCAGATTTATTATCCTGATTCATCACTATTTTCCTCCTATATTTTAAAATATGCAAATTTGTTATCAGATTTGGGTATGGCTCAAATTCTTCTCCAATATAATTTATTATCTTGAGGGGCAGGCTGTCTGCTGGCATAGATGAGAGAGTACAGAGGACCATGTGTGTTGAAGTGGAGATGCCATAATCTTTCTTGTCATGAAAAATCACAGGATTTAAGGCCTCCCAAGTTCTTGAGGTCCATAATTCCATAAAGTACATTTTGATTTAAAGCCAGTAGAACTGATTCCAAATAGGAGAAAAAATAGTTTGCTGATTCTAGCATTATGCTTTAAGTTTAATGAACTTTTTCATTTCCAGGAATCCTGGTTTGCAAATTCAAATGTTAATCAGTGTAGCAGTAAGTTTGAAAAAGACAAATATAGTGAACTTTCTTTTTTGAAGTGTTTTCCATTATACTCACCGTTATACTCATTGTGAAACATTTGGAATATTAATCTTGGGGGTGGGGGGAAAGAAAATGTCTGGTTTACTTACTGTAACTAGGCAAATCACTTCTAGTGAACTGTTTACTTAAACTGAGTTTCTTGCCTTTTTTTTTTTTTAGCATTTTTTTAATATGGCTCACAATTCTGGAAATAGTTTGAACTTCTTCTGTGGGCAGCTTGTATCTAGGTGCAGATAGCAAAATGATTTGCCTGCAGATGAAACACTATTTAAATTAGGCTTGTTTTTGTGAGAGCTAACCTCTAGTTTACTTTGGACCATTTCAGATTGAACTGGCTAATGGCCAGTGCAGACTGGATAAAATGGTTGATGCTGTGGCTGTTCATCCAGAACTCCCACAGCCATCTATTTGTATCATGGAAGACTTTTGAAGCCTCTCAGGTTTTTTGTTTGTTCTGGTTTTGTTTGTTTTTTTAAATATTTTTCAGAAAGTAAGGGATAATTACATTTTCTACATATCTCAAAATAGTTAAAGTGTGATCCCAGTGGGGATACAGTGTAAATGACAAAATGGCTGTATGGCTGAACAGTTACATAGAATGAAATGAGGGGCCTGAATTGCTGGTTACTAGTAAGTCCTCTCTTGTTTGTGTTTTGAGCTCTTAACCCGCAGCTCCAATAGTAACATCTCCTTGTTGTTATAAAAGTTGTGGATGCAAAAGTTGCATGTTCAGTTCTAGAGGACCCAAGCCACCGTCACCATTTCCTTGTGTTGCTGGGAGCACTGGATGTGTAGCTGGGGTGCTGTGCTGCTGCCAAAGAGGAGGAGGGATGAGTGGATTTCAGCCCAAGCATCTGCCATCTGGGAGCTTCAGGAAATGGGATTGGAGTTGTGGAAACTTTCTTTCCCTCCCCTCTCCCCCTGCTTTCTACTTAATTGGAAGGATTTATGAAGAATAAATAAAAGAGTATCTGAGCTTTTCCAGCTTGCCAAGGCAGCCTGCCTTTTCCTGGATATTTCCACGCTTTTTCTCCCCGTCAAATTTTGAAGCCCTGTTCAAAGTCAGTCATGTGCATCACCCATAATAACAGTATAAACTGTCAAGGATAGCCCTGGGACCTGTTTTGTGATGATCTTGGTGGTGTAGATCTGAGGTGAATCCTCCCTTACAGTAGAAATTGAGTACTGGATAGACTGAACATAATCTGACATAGCAGGTAAGCATGGCAAATAATGGATTTATAGGTTTTAGTCTGACTCTAGCAGTTTTTCTGTTGCCTGGAGAGAAAAGCAGGAGCTGATGGGGAGACTGGCAGTGAGGGCTGGAAGGCTGGTGGAGGTCCTGCCCAGGAGGAGGCATGGTGGCAGTAAGTCACCTCTTGACAAAACAGAGGGCTGTGAAAATTAGTGGAAAACATAGGTCCGTGCTGGTTTCATACTCCTGTGTAATATCCATCAGTGTGTAAAGTTTACAACAATTGCTAATGCAGTTTTGCAGCTCTGAATGGAACTCTGTACTGTGCTTTTTATTATAAACTCTGCTGTATTAAGTAGCATATCCTTTTCACAAGCAGGGCCTGTGGCTAGTCCAGCATGTTGCTCAACTTTGGCTTTCCTTTCGAGAATGACAGTCCTTGGAAGTAATGTTCCAGGGGTGTTTCATTCCTTCTCGCAGCTGTAAGTCATTGCAGCAGCAGCACTAACCTGATCAAAGAGGAGAAGCACAGCCTGCCATAAGCTGTTAAGTTAAAGCATCAGACAAACCTCTGGTTTTGTCTGTCTTCAACTTGTCTCCTGTTTCTTGCTTGTTCTTCAGGCTCATTCTGGCTTTGAATCAGGCTACACCAATTGAATGGAAAAGGGAGGGAAGTATATTTCTGTATATTTGGGCAGAAACATGCAGTTTTTGCAAAACTGGGGAAGCTCCAAAATGTACAATATTTTTTGTTCCTTCTTCTGCCAAAGTTACAGAAAAACAAAACAGTGAGAGTTTTCAGAAACCCGCTTACTTTATATAGACTACATAACACGCTTCCTCTCCACGGTTCATGCTTTGCTCTGCAGTGGATATCTTCTCTTTTGCATTTGTAAGCCAGCCGTTGTTCAGTTCTCTTAGGCCAATTGCCTGAAATCCGCTTTGAAGAAAGGACTTTTTAAATAACATCAGAACTCTAGTAAAGAATTAGCAGAAGTCAGCAATGGTTGATCTCTTGGCACTACTGCTGTGTAATACATTGCAATGCAAAAAGTTCTGTATCCTGCAGGTGGAGGTACTGCTGTTCTTAGCCCAGCTAAAAGACTTTGCAAGAACAAAAGGTTAGACTTTTGATTTTTGGTAGCTGTACCATTCCTTTGCCCTATATCACGGCTGATGATTGTCAGTTGCTAAGGTAGATGTGTGGAATAAGAATATACCTGCATTCAGATAAGGAGGCTGTGAGGCTGAGATGCTGCCATTAAATCCAAATATTCTGCTTCTTCAGCCAGAGATTCATCTATGACATGATTCCAGTATTACTGTGTCACAGTTTCATGCTGTGTAAAATGAACCTTGAATTGGTTTGCACATTAATACTTTTATATGTAGATCTCAAGTACAAACGAAGGAACCTTATACTCCGAATAAATTAATCATTTATACATATTTTGAGGTTTTGTGTGTTTTTTGGATTTTTTTTTTTTTTTTTCCCAGAGGCGTTGATTTAGATATGGTTCAACAAGAAACCACTAGGCTTGTGATAATGCATTCTTACGTGACCTTTGCCAAACCTGTGCATGTTTCTTTCTGTTTTGGAGTAGCGCTGACCTTTGGCTGTGGGTAACTATTATTTTTAGAGATGAGCCCTCCACCCTTAGGTCTCTATCCTCAATGGGAGTTGGGAGTCAAATCTGATGAACACATAAAGGCAGGTGAAGTTTTTCATAAATAGATGTTGTAAAGTTTAGAGCCTTCTGAAGTCTTCAACACATTGAAGAGGTTGAAGCAGAAATTTCTATATTGTCAGGATGCAATATGGTTTAAGTTTATGAGCTAGACTTATTGAGAAATATCTAAGTACCTTCTTGATAAGGCTTTTCAGAAGAAAGTCAATGCCATTGTGTTTTGGACCAAGATCATCTAGAGTTTCCCAGTGAGAGTCATCTAAATCATCTTTCAGTCCTACTTTATTTCAACTGCTAAGTTTTGATATTTTTTTTTTTTGCTGCTGTTGTTCTTAAGCACATAAACAGTTTTCTGAAGGGAAAGATATATTTTTACTCAAAATACATGAAATGTGAAAACCAATTGAAGGAAAAAGAATGTCCAAAATGTGGAAGGTTTAATTAAAAAAAAAAAAGAAAAAAAAGAATGTAAATAGACGGGGGGACTGTATTGCATAAATAGTATTGATTGAAATTTTTCTTCTAGAAAGGTATAGAATTTTTACATGGTGGTAAAACATGAAGTAATTTTTCAGAATAAAAGGGCGGTCTGTATGACTTTAGAAGTTGAAATGTCCAACCACTTGTTGTTTTGAACACAGAAGCATTAAAATTAAACTAATCTAATGGATATCTTTTCTTTATTTTCAGCTATGATGTTATCTTTGCGGGGGGACCTGAAGAACTGCTAAAGAAATTTCAGGAAGCTAATCATAAAGTGGTGTTTGCAGCAGATGGACTAATTTGGCCAGATAAAAGGCTAGCTGACAAGTATCCTGTTGTCCGGAGTGGAAGACGATTCCTGAACTCAGGAGGCAAGTGTGATTCTTGAACACATTAAACTCTTGAACTTGAACATGACTCACTTTTGTTATCTGTTTTATGTATTTGTATGTGGAACTATTCCTGAATTCCCCAAGTACAAAATCGAGGACTGGATTTGCTGTCCTCCTCTTCCCTTCTCCCTCCCTGCTTGAATAGCTCCTCTTCTGTGCTCAAGAATAGTTTTTGTTCAAACTTACATAATATTTGTTGGCAATAATTTGTAAAAAGCAGGTAAATAAAGTAGCAGCCTAGCAAACAACTGTGTCTTGCAATGAAATGCTGTGCAGGGATGACTTCAGAAACGATCTAGTGTACAAACCCAGTCAAAGCAGTACATGCTATTTATAGGCACATTTTAGCTGGGTCACAGAATTTCCTGACTTGGCTACATTTTTCTTGAGGATCTCTGCATATAGTGTAGATATGCTGGTAGCTCTGCCTGCTCTGCCAGCATGGCTTAGGCAGTTCATTCCAAGAGAAGCATGAGTTACTCCTGTTAATCTCAGTAATGTGTTAATTCTGGAGTGCCTTCTCCTTTAAATGCCAGCTTTGGTCATAATTTTGCAGTTGATTAATGCATGCACTCGCACTGATATTGTTTAACTGCTACAGAGCACAGTATGTGACTTCTAGGTGCATGGTGCCGGGCAGTGTGCAGATCTAGGAGTGACCCCATTCCTTTCCCTCCCTTCTTCACCTCACCTGTCTGCCCTGTCATTTTTGGTTTGGTTTAAGCATAACGTATATTGGGTTTGAATTGAATTCTCTGTGTAGTGCTGGCACTATTACATTCAGGCTTCTCTGCCAGCAAGAAGTGATTGATGAAAATGAAACATTTTCTACAGATGGGCTTCTTGGGAATGGTAGTAGTCTAATCTCATGCTTTGGAGTTCTCAGGACAGATCTTTGTTTCCTATGTTTTCCCTTAGAATAGCATTAGTATAAAAATAACCCTTAATTATGAACTCTTTAAAAAAGAACTGGTACATATCACAGAAAGAAAACTGGATTTTGAGCCAAGTTGTATGAGTTTCATACTTTGCTGGCACCAAACAGTCAGAATGAAGTCCCTGACTGGTGAACAGTATTGGCAAAGTAGTGCTTTTTATGGAAATAACTTATGTGTGTGTGATATTGCAGGATTTATTGGTTATGCTCCGTATATAAATCGTATTGTGCAGCAATGGAATTTGCAGGATAATGATGATGACCAGCTGTTTTACACCAAAATCTATGTTGACCCATTGGCAAGGGTAGGTAGTGACTGGCTTTCTCATTTCTTTCTGCTTGAAATAACATGCTGCTCCTCACAAAACATCAGTAGATAAAAATAAAAGGAATGCTGTCTCTTTATTCCTGAGTGCCATGTTGATGGTTGTGTTTGTTCTCCGGAGGCTCCTACTGTTGGAGTGATGAACAGGTTTCCAGAGGGTCATGACTTGATATATTATTTCAGACTGTCTGCAGATCCAGGCAGGTTGTGCTTCCTTGTTAGAAATAATAGCTCTGAGGTATATGATTGGACACATTCATCTCAATGAGGGTCCCATGTACTCGGCAGTTTGATGGCTGGAGAATGTGGCATTTTTCCAGGGTGTCACTGAACTACTTGCTGATCCAGTGTTTTATATTTTGGCGTACTGCCATTTCAGATCCTGCCTGCAGCTGCCTCTGACTCTTCAGCTTTTTGTGCAGATACGCTCAATAAGGCTGCATCGTAAATTTTTGGTGAAGACCTCTCTGTGCCCTAGCTTAACAAAGTTCTCTGCTGTCTAGCAGCATTAAAGCATGATAGATGTCAGAGGCATGGCCCTGATGCTGACAAAGAGGGCTAAGGAAAGTTAGCAATGTATTGATGCAAAAAGACTTTTAGAAGCCGATACTGCAGAATTTTGAGGTTGGTTTTGAGCATTTGTATGCTTATGCAGATGTGGAGTTTCTGAAATACTTATGTTTTTCCATTAAGTTATGCCTGAAACATCAGGCATGTGTAGATACAGGTAAAGAAGTAGAATATTTCAGTTGGAAGGGACCTGCAATGGTCATCTGTCCAACTGCCTGACCAGTTCACAGCTGACCAAGCTAAAGCATGTTATTAAGGGCATTGTCCAAATGCCTGTTAAGCACTGACAGGATTGGGGCATCGACCACCTCTCTAGGAAGCCTGTTCCAGAGTTTGACCACCCTCTCGGTAAAGAAATGCTTCCTAATGTCCGGTCTAAACCTCCCATGGTGCAGCTTTGAACCATTCGCATGTGTCCTATTGCTGGATCTGAGGGAGAAGAGCTCAGCACCTCCCTCTCCACTTCCTCTCCTCAGGAAGCTGTAGAGAGCCATGAGGTCGCCCCTCAGCCTCCTTCTCTCCAAACTAGACAAACCCAGAGTCCTCAGCCACTTGTCATAGGACATGCCTTCCAGCCCTTAATGTTTGAATTGATTTTATGCAAGTTAAATCAGATGCTAGATAGGCAATTGAAAGGACAGGGTGTAGACACATTAAAGCTGACTCTGCTGTCTAAACAGATTGTCTTCTAGACAAAAAATATGTACCTCTGCACAGTGCACTACTGCACTGTGATTTAAAATGCCTCCATGGTGCTTAGCTTGGGATACTGTACAATACATTAGCACTAGTCCTCTGCATGGTAGTGTCTAATGCTGTAGAATATGTAACAAAATCTTGGAACACCGAAACAGAGTATGTTAAATGTATAAGGGTTTTTAAGTGTTTTTTTAAAGGTTATATATTTTGATCAACATGTTAAAACTTCAAAAAAAAGTACTGTAAACAAAAATCTAGGTAGAATTAATAACACAATATTAGGAACATGGTTTAAAACCACTGGTGTTTTCTGTTCTGACATGATACTTAAATTTGGCTTTTGTATTTTTAAGACTGTGAAACGCAGTATGTTTTGTTACTTGGCCAAGGCTTGTTAATCTTTTTTTAAGATAAGACACAATTTTTCTTTGGCTTATGCTGCCAAATTGTAGTTTCTTCGGAGAGTTATGACCTTTGTCCTTCAAGTTTGGATGAAGTTTTTGTCTATATAAAACTGATTGCTATACAGCTGCACAACTCAGAAATATAGAAAAATATAGCAGTATAAAATGAAGAATTATATCTAAGAGCTGAATACGTAAAGTAGTTCTGCCTGATTGCTTGCTGTCACTGCAGTACACCTGTAACATCACCGTAAAAACATTGGCTTTTAGAATGCCTCAACATCTTCACTACTTTTATTTCAGGAACGCATTAACATTACTTTGGATCATAAATGTACAATTTTCCAAACCCTAAATGGGGCTGTTGGTAAGTGTATGATTTGCGCATTGTGTATTTTATTAACTGTTTCTTTGCTTAACCATGAATATCGTTCCCTAAACATATGCTTGTTTTAAAGAAGTATTTGGATAGGTAAACCTGATTGTCAGAGGAGTTACAGGTCTTTTGGGTTTGTTATTAATTGATTTCTCCCATTGTTAAAATATTTTGATTTAAAATAGAAAAAATAGTTTTCAATAAGTGGAGTTAACATTAAATACAAAGTTAAGAACCATTTTTCCATCTGCCTTTCACAAACTTAGTTACAGGAGTGAGATTAGTAACTAAAATTGCATTTTAGGTGTTCTTAAGCAAATGGCTATTCATAACGAAATGCAATGTGGAATAATGTAGAGTTTGCTTTATTCAACTGTCATGAATTTAAATTGAAAAATGGCATCTGTGCAAACTTCTTTTCTTGCCTTTAACCTGCAATTATGGAACAACTTCTTATAGTCAGATCATATCTGAAATAGCTATGATTTCTCTATAAATAGTATTTGCACAAAGTTAGTTTTATTTTTAAAGCAGATTTTATTCAAATAGTGAAGGCTGCTGATGGCAAACTCTGAAGTTTGATGTAACCTTATTTAGCATAAAGAGCTTTTAGAATTCAACATCTAGTTAAAAAGAAATGAATGAAAGCTTCCAAATAAGTAACATTGACACTGATAGCAAGAGCAAGGTATATATATTGTATCAGCAAGAACTTAAAGAACTCTGACATTTTAGCTTTTATTTATAAACTGTTATTACTGTATGATCTCTGTTGATTTGCAGATGAAGTCCTTTTGAAATTTGAAGAGGGAAAAGTAAGAGCAAGGAATTCAGTGTATGACACATTACCGATCACTATTCATGGAAATGGTCCAACTAAAGTGAGTTTCTTTTTATTTTTGTGCAAAGACTGCAGTTTTCCTAGAAGCAAAAACAATGGTGGAAGAGTCTGAAACAGTCACAGGACACCACCACTGCTCATTTCCAATTAAAGTTAATAAGAATTGCAAGGATAAAAAGAAACATTCTAATAGCTCTCTCCATCATGTTATTCTGCTGTCACTGTAACTTGGTATTGCTGCTGAAACAACTCATTCTGCTCCCAAATTCGTTGTAGCATGGGATATTAGAAGTAAGTTTATGTTAATTTGTTCACTATTCCAAAACAATTCTTGAAGCTAGTGAAGAATGTCTATCTGGTTATTAAATGGTAATCAGAAGAATAGGTTTTCAGGGGGAGAAAAATCTAGCCAAGTGTCACAGGCTGCGATACAAAACAGTAACATGTCTGATCCTACTGCAGACCTTGGTGTGTGTTTGTATACACATATATAAAAAATATATTGCATATAGGCAGAAAAAAATATATGTATAGGTATGTGTGTATATACATTTATACACACACAGGACTGGCTTTTGTTGTTACATCTTCAGTGTCATTGATCACTGCCTGCAATGTACCTGTGGCTCATGAACTTTGGGTTCATGGCAGAGCACTGCCTGCCCTGTGAAACAGCTGTTTTGGCAGCTTTTGTCTGTATGTAAAGGATTCACTGGCACAGTTTCTCTGGGAGAAATGGCAGTTGCATTTTTTGTTATATGGCAAAGAAGCTTAAAGGTGTATCATTTCTAATAACCTTTGTTGGCTGAAGGATTGGGCATGGCTGCTTTCTAACTTCTTCTGAACACATGTTCCTTACTGTAGCTCCTTATTTTCAAAAAAAAATGCCTCCCAGGAGAATGAAATAAAGCTTGAAACCCATTAATATCCCAATGATTGCTTCTTAGTTTTTCCACTGTATTTCATTTTTTGAATTAGTAATGATTTTTTGAATGTAATGATGCCATTATGTTTGGCTTATAACCACTCAGTAGTGGTGGAATATATGACCAATTTCTTGCATGTTGCTACAGCTATTTTTGCCTCAATTCCTCAAGCTATCTATTATCACTGGCTTTGCTGGCACTTTGCCAATGAAAAGAAAGGTACTTATTTTACTGTATTTATTTAGCATTGGTAAGAGACACTTCTTTGAAATGAATACTAAATTATCTTGACATCTGAACATGTAAATTTTTTTTTTTCCTCAAGTACAATGGCTTTTTTGTGAAATATTCATTTTTGTATTTCATTTTGTACATCTCTGAAACTAAGTTCAAGCAATTCTGGAAGAGGGTAGATTTAGATTAGATATTAGGAAGAAATTCTTCCTTGTGAGAGTGGTGAGGCACTGGAACAAGTTGCCCAGAGAGGCTGTGGATGCCCCATCCCTGGAAGTGTTTAAGACCAGGTTGGATGGGACTTTGGGCAACCTGGTCTAGTGGAGGCTGTCCCTGCCCATGGCAAGGGGGATTGGAACTAGATTGTCTTCCAACCCAAACCATTCTGTGATCTATTTATAATTTGTCTAGAATGCTTTTTCAATATGCATAAACAAATGCCCAAGATGTGATAAAATGCAGATTGAGTATTGAGCTGGAGCGTGTTTTCTAGGCAAAATTGTATTCTAGCCTTCCAGTTTTTGATGAGGGCAGTAGAGCAGGAATAAAAAATAGCAGCCTTCCCTCAGACAGATTTTCCCTGGCACAAGAGATCCCTTAACCATTGCAAATGGCAGTAGAGAAGAGTGAAGTTCTGCACAAACTTCCTGTGGAATCCAGGAGGACAAGGCAGCCCAGGCAGCCCATCAACAGAAGTAGTACATATTTTGTTCAGTGCCAATTCAAAAATGTGTTAAGAAGTTAGGTGCTGCTTTAAATTATATCCCACTGACTGGCTTCTGAATCTTGGCATAGATTGTCAAAAATACATTTTCTGGGCACTTATCTCTACATTTTCTGTGTGTTTTTCATATGGTCACTCTTTGTGTTTTGTGTAAAGTGTTGATGATTCTCAGATTTGGGAAAAGAATTAAACTATAATATTTTTTTTCCCTTGAAATCACACCTAGCAGCTTTTGAGAGCTGAATGATCTATAGTCTTGGAAGTCATACAATCATTTAGTTGGTAGTTGTTATGCTTGCAACAACTTTGGGGTTTAACTGAAGCAATAAATGTAGATGCTATGAGAATATCATCTCTGGTTTGTAAATGAAAAGAAGAAGAAAAAGCTTTTACCAACTATTTTTGTATGTTTGGTTTTGTGGCTTAATCTTAAATAAAAAAAAAAGACAGTCAGTTGCCTTTAGATATAAGGGATTAGATAAGTAAGCCTGAAGTCTTTAAAAGGTACAAATCACCATTTGTATGCATGTTTCATTAAACTGAATTGTTCATTTATTTACCAGATTCACTTGAATTATTTGGGAAATTATATCCCCAATGCTTGGACACGGGAAACTGGTTGCAGTATTTGTGATTTAGACTTACTAGACCTGTCAGCTTTAACGGTAAGAATACTTTTCACAAGAACAAAACCCTTTTGAATGCATTTGATAGGTATATAGTGGTTTCTGAGGCAAAATGGCTTCAGTATGTAATATTATGTTCTGTAGATATCTCAGGATATATGGCATTTCTGGTATATGAAACTGTAATGATGGAATTTTAATTTACTGGAAGTATCAATACTTTTAGAAATGTTTCTATGTATGCATTTTAATACAGGTTTTTTCAATATTACTGAAGGTGATCCCATCCCCCAAAACCCTCCAGATCCTTACATCTGTTCACTGAGGGTGAATGAATCATTTTTGAATCATGCAAGATTCAAGTGAATAATTAGAATTTTTGGGAGGTAGAAAAACTCTTTAGATATTTCAAATTTTTAACTGCAGGCCTACAAAAAACTTGAATATGCATCAGTTTAATAATTTCTGTTACAAATAGAGGTTAATAGTTAACTTTAACATGGTTACAGTTGCTATTTTCTGAGAGATACAGAGAAATAGTCGAAACTGCTTCACCTTGTAAAGGATGATACAGATATCTGTATTGTATATGCAAATGTGTATCTGTAGAATAAATTTGATGTAACTGAGATATCAGTTCAGTTTTCAGAGTTCAAATAGGACAAACAGACACATACACGTGCATGTGTGTGTATATCAAATATTCAGGAACTTATTTTGGCTCTGTGGCTCCAAGCATGATGTCTTTAGTGTCTTTACGAATATTTCGGCTTGTACTCAGTAAATTTTAGGCAGAGTAAATACTAAGGTGTACCACAGGGAAATGTAAGGCTTGTACTTGAAAGAACATTCTGATTATTCTTAACAGGCTGTTTCCAGCAGCTGTTTCATTTCTGTTCTGCATTGAAGATCTGAATGAGAACAGGTCTTAGAAGATCAGGTTGAGGATAGCATGAAAAAAATAGTGACGTGTTGTCTTTGTAACAAAAGGACAAAGTGAAAGAATTTCTGACCAATAAGCAGCTTATGGACTGCAATATAAATTTAAAATGTTATTGCTGGAGTTGTCATAACTCTCACATTCTTTTTATTTTATTTTTTTATTTTAATTTTGCTTTGAAAATACAACATTCAAATGGTGTTCTACTGAAAGTGTTTGTACTCTCAAAGTTCACCTGAGGAAAAGAAGTTGTCTAAGTTTTTCCTAATGGTGTTGGCAATTAAAACACGGTTGCGGAGCAGTTAAATCTTAAAGCCAGTAACGGGGAGTAACTTGCAATTATTTACTGGATAGCATCCTATAGTTTATGTACATCTACTGGGAACGTGTCTTCCTTACTGTAATTCGTTCTTTGGACTTAATACCTCACTCACTCTGCCAGCAAAAATAAGAAGACTTTTCTTTGGACTCAGTGGAAGTGTTTACTTCAGGCATTTCTGGTTCAAGCCATATTTCATTTTCTGAATGTGCTTTCTGTTCTGGCCTGGCTGGTTGCTACTTACCAAGAGATCTTCAATGAAAAGAGCAATACCAGCTCTGTGCCTCTAATCATTCTTCCCATATTGTTTTATTTAACTTTCTACATTGATGCACTCATACCTTCTGAGGATTTTGCTTGTTCTTCTCATGAGCCAGCAGTACGGACACTTCCCAATGCAGTTGGAAAGCGTGACCTTGTCATCCTCTTGCTTCACTGGTGCCTCTTGTGGCAAGGGTTCACGGACATTGTCTCTGTACGACTACACAGAACATTGTCCTGTATTTCTTCCAGAAATTGTCGTACACTCACCTACTGGCTGTGAAAAAGTAAACTTTAAAAAGCAAATGTATGACCTTAGTGAAGATGAGAAAAATTTGTTGGAGAAAATGTAACACTCCGGTGCAGACTGGGTATTCCCTAAGTGTTTTTGCTGATGCATAATTGGGAAGAACCAAAACTTCAGACTTGATATACTCAAAATGCTGAGTATTAAAATTGTTCATTCTGACCTAGATTCAGATTATGCAGTGACAACTTTTTATAGTATGGTGAACCAGGGTCTAGATTGATTAACTCTCTGCTTAGTGGAGATGCAGCAGAGCTGCAGCAGAGATGGGAGATGCAGCAGAGAACTCTTTGCTTTGAGGAGATGCAGTTTGTAGGAGTCTTGATTCTGAATTTTTTAAACACTTGTTTTGGTTCGGTCACGCTTCTGACATTTTAGTGTAGACATTGGAGCCAAGCGGTTCACACTTCAGTGTACTGAAGGAGTGTTAGTAATTCCTGATTGTCCCTATAACCTTTGCAGATCCAGCCTGAACCTGCTTCTCTTTGTCCTAGAGAACAAGGGGAAAATGCCTCAGAATTAGAGAAATATGCAAGATAAATTATTGCAGCAGTTCTATTATTGGTAGCACATGTGTATGTTCAGCTTAGCAAGCCCGATGGCACATGCTGCTTTCCTCATCGCTCGAAATCAGCGGTACCAGTTACCATGACACCAGTCTCAGTGGAGTGGTTGCCAGAGAATATCACAGTTGCTTTTTTCAAGAGACGTCAGTGTACTTGTCTTCATCAGCTGTTTTGAAGCTATTAGGATATCTGCATGAGCACATATTAGGTTTGCAGATGAAGTTGTGAATAAGAGGTAGTCAGGGTAAACATCGGTGCCTAATGTTTCCGATCTGCTGCACTTGCCAGTATGTTTCTGGATTTCCGATGTAGACAGCAACACTGTAAAATCTCAACATGCGCTGATGGCTTATCCAGACACTTTTCAAGTGGGTGTTGGCTTGCTTAAGGAAAGCTAACTTGCAGCCTTTTATACTCATATAAGGTTTCTCTCTGAGCCTTGTAGTAGGTTAGACGTTTATACTAACAGTCTGTTCTAGAGGTGGAAAAAAATTTTGTTTAATCACTGCATTTCTTTGTGTAGGAGTCCAGGCCTTTGAAGGTTAAATTTCTTTGTCTTGCATAATGTAATAATATATTTTAGAAATACACAAAGTGCTGTCTAGGTTTGTTTTAATGGTCATGATCTCTATACCAAGTACCTACAAACCAGGAATTAATACCACTGTTCAAAAGATGTGAATTCACGTTGGAATAAGGTGGATAAAACTTCAGTATCCTTGGATGCAGGGGGAGAAGCTCTAGTTAGTTCATCAAAGGTCTTGATAAAATTGGAGAGTAAGGAGCCCACTTATAATGATTGGGGAAAACAATGCACATAAGCATATGGAAAGGTATTGCAGTCTTTGGCTTAAAGTACAGAGGAGTAAAATATTTTGTGGTATTTATTCTTTAATTACTTTTTAAAAACTGGTCTTCCCTATATTTTCTTGTAAATGTAACATAAATATGTATCTTACTTTCAAAAAATGAATTTGCCATGCAGTTTTAGGTGTATTTCCTTAAATACTTTTTTTTCTGTTTTAATATTTTTTTTTTAAAGTTAGAATTTTAAAAACCAGAATACATTATTTTCTACTTCCAGTTTTTGTCATTGGAATTCAGAGAGTTTTCCGGCAATATTAAATGAATTATCTTTGCTTATTTACTGAAGTCAGTGAAAATAAACAGGGGCATAGCACTTCTGAGCTAGTTGGCTTCGATTATTTGAAAGCTGTGTGGCCTAAGTTACTACAGCATGTCATTAGTTGCTTTTTAATATAACTAATCTTAGAAAGGAGACAAGTCTTATTGGTTGTGTCAAAATATCATTTTTTTTAGGAATATCCAAGAGTAAAAATTGGTGTTTTCATTGAACAACCCACTCCTTTCCTACCTAAATTTTTAGACAGACTGTTGACTCTGGACTACCCAAAGGAGGCACTCAGTATCTTCATTCATAATAATGTAAGTATGATGTTACTATTGTGCAAAGCTTCGCTTTTGGAAATTATGGTATGAATGAAAGTGTATGAGGGAGTATATGGATTCTATATGTGTACATAGTTAAACTGCAGAGGAAGAGATAATCATTCAGAATTTAGTATGCACAAGTGGAAAAATTACACAAATTAAATGAAATTGTGGCAGTGCTTACTGAAGTCTATTTAAAGAAACTGCTTAGATTCCTTCTCTTTTACTAATGAAAAATATTGTAGAGTGTATATTTCTGGGGCAAGTACTGATTGACATAAAACAACAGAGAAGAATAAGAATAGAATAGTTGCAGTTGGAAGGGACCTACAACGATCATCTAGGCCAACTGCCTGACCACTTCAGGACTGCCCAAAAGTTATAGCATGTTATTAATAACTGTTATCCAATAGTTGACACTGGATTTACTTTTCATCTTGTTGATACCCCAGTGCATTTATGTTTTTCTTGGTGCTCCTGCTGGGTGCCATGGGAAAGACTGTTGTGTCCAGGTGTATTTTGAATGGTCGTACAGATAAGTTGCTTTTTTGAATGTTTTTTTAATGCTTTTTGATAATTACCTAATGATCTCGCTGACCTTGCTGATAGTTCACCAGTGACTTCTGTATTGCTGTTTTCATGAGTGAGGTGACAGATGTGTGTAAGTCTTTTGGAAAAAACTGGACTGGAAGAGAAATGGGAGGAATTCTGCTCTTTTTCACTTGGCATGCATTAGTGTTGATATCACAGCACAAAAGGCCTGAGTAGCTAGAAGTAGAGCTTATCTTTAAAGTCTTCAGTATGCTTTTGTAAGGGGATGTTAAAGGTATAAATGTGATATGAACATAGGAATTGTAGGCTATGATAGGTTTCTTTGCTTCAGCCAGAAGTCATATGGTATTTGAAATGAGTATAAAAGACTGAATATTTTTTATCATAGAGGGGGGAAAACCCTTCCCAATATTTTAGTCATTCTAATGTCAGCCATAATATGCCAAAGCTACAAATGAGGGCACCGGGTTGGAAGCATTGTGTGCACCTGAGGTCTCTTAAATTAGAGGTAGGGTAATTAGAAACTATAGAAACAATCATTGTGACTACATTTTAAAGAAACAATGAGTGTCACTGTCCACCTGGATACAGGTAGCAGCTCCCTCTCTAAAGCTGTTCTGGAGTGGCATAAAAAACTGTGTGCCACTGAGGTTGTAGGATTGGTTTTGAAGATTATAAAATAAATATCCTGAAAAAATATTGCAGAAACAGTCTGTGAATCTTGCATCATTGGTCTGGAGGTACAGCTTTGATTTATATTGCTGATGTGTTAAATTCTTTTGCTAAAATTTTGGACAGAATAGCTTCATTTTAATGACAGATATACTGGAATATCTTCAAATACTGTTTGCCATCTGTTTGTTTAGGATAGAATACAGTGTGTTCTTGGATGCTATGTTTATGATTTCACAGCAACTTGTACTTTTCGTTTACTATAAACAATGTTAACATGATTACAGGAGGTTTACCATGAAAAACACATCAAGAAATTCTGGGAAAAAGCCAAGAACATTATCGGAAATATAAAAATTGTTGGACCTGAAGAAGATCTGAGTCAAGCAGAAGCCCGGAACATGGGAATGTAAATTCTAATTTATAAATCTGTTATAATGATGCATTTGCTAACATTTTTTCATCTTTTATGTATTTTATATACATAACAACTAACAACTTTACATCTTAAGATACAAATATGGGAGCTTTTTTTGAGGAACAAGATCTAGATATAAGATATGAACTGTTGAGTATTTTGTGTCTAATATAAAAAGCTTGTTGGGCATTGTGAAAATATCTCTCTGGTTTGAACTACTTTGATAGTCTGTCATCTTGTCTTCTATTGAAGGCATAGCCAATAGACTACAAAGAAATAAGAGGTGTCAGATTATTTTTACATTATAGTTATCTCAAACATGGGCATATATTAAAGCATGATGAGCATAAACTGTAAAGTTTAAATATTTTTTTAAAGAAGAATGCTATTGAAATAAAAGATGGTACAATACAAAAAACTTTAATAAAAAGTGTGTGCAGAAAATTATATGTAGCAGTAATTTAAAAAAAAAGGTGGAAACAGGTGCAAATGTAAATAGAAATTCTAATTGCAGTGTATCTTCTAAAAATGTATTTGGTTTTATTTTCTATCGAAACCCTTTTCAAGCTAACTTATCACAGAATGATTTCACAGAATAGAAGTACCTTTTGCATTTAACAATTGCACTCTTGTTGTCATAGTCCCTCCTCCTTGAAAATATGATTTCAACTTGACCTGGGCATACAGGTGACAGAATTATATTTCTTCCTATGTTTCAAAGAGACAGGGATATCCTTCAGAAGTGCTCTAGCACAAGTGTCTGCTTTCAGGAAAGAAAAAAAAAAAAAAAAAAAAGACTCACAAAGGCAACTATCTCATCCTTGGTCTGGCTTTTTTCTTTTTTTCTTTTTCCCTTTTGTTCTTACTAGGGAATCCAACCCTTTAGCTTTTAAACCTGGCACTTGCCAGGCCTAAATCTGAACCTTGTATCCTGTGTCAGTCTTGCCTGTCAAAGGGTCTCTTTAGTGGCTGCACCACTGGCTGCTACCACAGAGTTGCTCATGGCTCTCCCAGTATGTCTGTCAGTCTGATTATGGAGTTTTACAGACCAGGATTCCACCAAGACCTCATGTGGCCCTTGAACAGGCTTCATTCCTGCATAATTCTTCCACTCTGTTTTCTCCCAAATCTTCCATGAGTGTCAGAGCAGAGAAATTATTTTCAAAAGACCCTTTTCTTTTATATTCGGGGGTTAGGAGCATAGTATAGGCTGTTCATGGCATCAGCTGAAAGAATGAAGGAAGAATCCTGAGTCTCCGTGGTGTTCTTGGAAATTTGTTTGGATGGGGTTTTGTTGTGCGGAAGATATTTGGCTGAGGTCCGTGCCTCTCCCATAGCCTCTCTAGGAAACACTACAAATGTCCACTGGTAGGGTAAGCAGCCATTCACATGTTTATAAATATTCTTTCTTTCTTTCTTTCTTTCTTTCTTTCTTTCTTTCTTTCTTTCTAATAGTCTCTAAAGCAAATGTACTATGTTTGCAAACTTTTTCAAGTAGTATATGTTACATATAACTGAGGTGGAATTTCTGGAGTTGCCTTTTCCTCTTTGTTGTTATATAGACACCATAAGGCAGAATCTTTTGTGTAAACAGTTTCTATACTCTTACTAAATCTCACCCAAAGATCTTTAAACCTGCTATCTTTTGATAGAACCTACTGACTTACAATGTGACAGAGTTTTTAGTAGGATATATGGTCTTTGCTTGATCTGTGGATAAAAAATAGTAATTTAAATGTATATTTGCACAAAATCATTTCAAATTCTGTTATGTAAGGCAGGGAGATAATCATACTTGTGATGTGTACCACTGGATACACTACACTGTGATGTGTATCCATTGTCTGGATATAATTTGAGCCATGTTGTTCTGCTTTGATAGGCCTCTTTAATAAAGATTCTGTCCTAAAGAGATACATAGCATATAGAGAAAATGTGAAGTATAATGCATGTGGAATGAGATCATGCCAAAATACTGTATCATCCAGAAAGTATGAGTATTAGTAGTAGGATCGTTCATGTGACCAATGTAGATACAATTTGATGGCTCCTTTCAATTCGACTGAAGTAGGTTCAGTTCATCTGCTGCTTCCTTTGCACTCCTGGTCTGCTTGGTCACCTTCGTAAACATCACCAACTTCTCTGGAACAAATGCATTTTACTTTTCCTCAAAAAATCTAGCTCAGAAGTATGGGACGTTCATGGCAAAGGCAGATACTATAAAAAATCATTTGCTTTCAACACTTCAGCTGGCTTCCAACATAATAACCTCATTTGTTTCTCACTAATACTGCATTGGGAATGATTTGAAAAGAGTGATTCTTCAAATCTGTTTAATGGCTTGATTTACAGAGATTGATATATTCAGTCTTCTGATTAGTTTTTTCCTGCCTCTATCTGCATTATTGACTGATTGTTTTGTTCCATCTGCCTCAAATACTTGCTTTCTCTCTTTTTCCAAATTAGCAGATTTTAGTAACTCTCTGTTAATTTCCAGTAGGTTTAGAATTAATTTAGTCTCCTCACTTGCACATTTTACACAAAAAGTCTATCTATCTGAACTTCAAGTTCAAGGCTTCAAGTAATACAATTCAGTGCCTAGTGACAGAATTAAAAAAAAAATAAAAAAAATAAAAAATAGAGAGCGAACTTAAGCATTGAAGATCTGGTTTGTTTTCAGCAGAATACTTTTGAGTATATAATGCGGTTGGATCAGTTTTCTCCTTACCTCTTTTTTTCCCTTTTTGGCTCAGTAAAAAGTGGTGATAAATCACAGTGAGGTTCTCAGTAAATGAGAATCTCTTATATCAATATGTGGGAGAAAATAACATTTTTTTAAATTTCACCCATAGTCATGCAGGAAATTTCTGTCTACTTTTCTCATTCACATAATAAAGAATAATTGAAGCATTTACTTTCTTGCTTCATCTTGACATAGAAAGCCCTCTCCTGTGCTTGTGGAAGTTGGATAGGTATTGGAAAGGTCTCCAAATTGTGCAGTGAGCAAAGGCTTGTTACAATTCAATAATATTGGCAAACAGGATTGCACAGCGTTCCTTATTGTGGGTTGAAATAGAATAAGAAGGGAGGAGAAGAAAGCAGAATAAAGAGAAGGAAAGTTTAGCTGCATGTTGTCTGTTTTCTCTGCACGTACATCCCTTGACACCCTAAAATAGCATTTTCATGTCTTTTTTTTTTTTTTTTAGCCTTTGTCTACAGGGAATGTATTAGCATTCTTACAGTTCATTCTTTTTTCTTTAAGAAAGAACTCATTTGTGGGTTTGCCTTGTTTGGAGATAAGATTTCAACCAGCTGTAACAGAATTTGTTATGACAGAAAATGTAAAGTATGTTCAAGCAATAACAGAAAGTGAGGAAATACAGGAATTTATCTCATTTGCTTCGCTGAGGTTTTATTTATAAAAAGCTTATTTTCCATAATCTTTTTTTTCCCCCAGGGACCTTAGGGCTTCTTTTTTTGGGGGATTGTTTTTTTCCCTCCCTCAATAATATTAGTAATAGAACTAGCTAGGATTTTTCCGGAACTTTTTAAAAAATGTGATTTACCTCAACTTTTAGTGGGAATGTGCACATTTTAATGAAGGCTTACATTGAAAGCTTTCAAAAGTTTCAGTAAGACTAGTAGGGAGATCAGTATCAGTTAGAGAGTTTGACCTCACTGTTGAATTTTGAGCTAAATTTGGGGTTTCCTGTGTGCTTCTTGAAAGTCAGAAGATATTAAGTCTGTCTCTGAGCTCCCATTGGTATTGATAAATAATGACATGGATGCAGGAGGACTCCCTTTCAAGTCCTGTGAGTAGGGCAAGTACCTTGGCTGTAGTTGAAGGAAGAGCAGGGATTAAATCTGTGTCTTCCAGATGTCAAGTGATTTCTTTTGGAGACTTGGATTTTCTGGAACTGAACACTTGAGCAATTTTGGGTTTCAGCTTCTGATGGAGGAGGAACATTTTGAACTTTGAGTGTTGCAGAACAAAAACAATTTTACCACCCATATCTGATTTCAGTAGCTTCCAGGTGTGATAACTGTGATAACAATACTTAAGCCCGAGGTGCAAAACTAAACGCTAGTGCTTTACTTGTGGCTACCTTTTGTTTGGGTCTAGTGATGGGTAATAAGAGTTTCTTTACACTGTTGTGGCTATCTGGAGAAATGCAAAATGTAGTCCTAAATGGCAAGCAGTGTCACCCAATCTGTCAGTGAGTGCTGCAGGCTTGTATCCGGGGCATCTTCTCTTTCAGTGGTCTGTCAAACAGTGTTGGTGCTCTCCCTTCAGGCTCACAGTCCACATCTGGAATTGTATTTCCAAACTGTGAGAGGTATAAAAATGACAAATTGATTATTTGCAAATAGAAACTGTGTCTAAAAAAAAAAAGTAACTCAATGGTAAAGAAATTGAGTAGACTATATATGTCTTGCTGCTATAAACAACTAGCCCCTTGGAATATCTCAGTGGAAAGTTTGATGAAGAGAAGAGCAGTGACACTTTCCCTTTTCAGATGAGGTCACTGTTCCAGATGGACTTGCGGTTCGTAAGCAAAGTTAAACATCGCTGTGATTGCAAAATACTGTAAACTGATCTGCTGAGCTTCATTTCACACTTCCAACAAAAATCTTGGCCTTCTACTACATTTTTATTAATTGTTACACTGAAATGGCTTTAAGTTATGTACATAAATATAACTTTCTTTTCAATATTTGGTCTTAGTTTAGGAGCATGTGGAATATACAGTAAGTCGATTAAATGTTTCAGCCATTGAATTTGGATTAGGTAGTATAGTAATATACATATGAGTACTGCTAAATAGCACTTTCTACTTGTTCCTTCCTGTAACCTGGATATACGTAATAAATAGTTTCACATATAATCTAGGATTTCTACATCTGGAGAGGTTAGCATACACTGTAAGAAGATAATACCTTAACACATGAGAATATCCAGGATTACTTTTATTTCCTTGGGAAAGCTACTTGGCAACACTGAAAGCCTGAAGAGAAGTGAATTTCTTAAGAGTAGGCTTGTTTTATTAATTTTGACAGAAACTTTTCCAACTCTTTTTCTGTATATCTGAAAGTGGAAGTGTTTCATGGAGATTTTGTTAGTGACCTTAAGGTACAAAGGCAAAACTTATACTTCACATTTGACATGGTGACTTGTATCTGGAAATGCAAGGAGAATTATGATTTAAACATCAA